CACGACGATTATAATATAGGCGATCGACTTACAATCAGTGTACCGTATCCAATGTTTTTTTCATTATTATTATTATTATTATTATTATTATCATTATCGTCGTTATTATTCTCTATACCCATTACCCACCTATATCCGTATGTCAACCGTTGTACGCGCAGTCATTATACAATACATACAACATGTACCTGTTGTAGCTTTATACTATATGCTTGTATAATATTAATTGTTGATGCAAACGAGCGTTTTATATTGTATACGACGACGACGAGCGAAAACCTGCGGCAGTTATGTTTATTTACTATATATACGCAAATAATATTAATAAAAAATAAATAGTCCTCGGTCCGGATCGTCGCGTATATTGTGTATATAATCGCGGTATAATCGTGTAGTTTTAGTGTTATATGCACACAAACACTCGCTTATACACACACAACACGCACACTCGCACGTATTTATTACATGTATACATAATATAAGTAACAACTATACATAGTTAACAGCGTTTTAAGCATTTTTTTTTTTATTTTTATTTTTTTGCATTTTTGCATTTTTGCATTTCCTACAAATCGTAATAACGTTTTCATATCGTCGCGGCGAGTCTATTACCGTGCAATTAGAACGTGTGTATACATATACGCATTACGCGTAGCACATAACGACGGTGCATATAATATTGTATCGTATACGTAGGTACCTACTCTACTATACCTGTTATTATTATTCCTATTACTATTGTATTCGCGCCAGTAATATTGCGAACGTAATATATTATTTCAACCGTCGTTCGTTGTTGTTATACCACCCATTTCTTCCGAAATTTATTCTTCAACGCTCTCGACATCATATATATATATATATACGGTAGGTTATTGTATATTATATATATATTTATTTTTTTTATTTAGAGTTTTCACACATGTGGAAATATACATGCGCATTACGGGCTGGTGTAATATTTTATGACGACGCGAACACAATAAGTTCGCGTTCTCATCACACGCGCACTCATTTATATACGTTTATACGTACACAGGTATATACGATATACACGAACGTATATGTGGAACGCGTTGGTAGATAGGTACTTTTACGTTCATATACGCATTACGTATAACAGTAGCGGTGATTGAGAGTTTTTCACACGCGCCAATCTCCTACCTGTCTACCCGCAATGACGTATAGGAGTGTATACGCCATACGGCAACGCTTCCCCTAAACACCACCCGATCGTTGCAGTGGTTCCCATCGTCGTCATTATCATTATAACACACACATACACACATACTAAGACGCGCCCGCGTAATCATACAAAGGCGCTTACGTTCGTGAGAAAAACCACCCGTCTTGGCAGACGGATTTCCCGACGCCTCGAGAGCATCGACGCATTGTCGTTCATATAGCGAAACGCCCTCACATTAAATGTAGGTATATAATATTATATATATAGAGAGAGAAAATGAGAAATAGAGTGCGTATAGTATGGTATACATTGTGTATAACTAGTTTTCCTTGAGTAAACGGGAATGAATATATATATATATATATAAGTATTATTCATACAGGGTGAGCTATGTAGTGTTAAACCGACTTTCCACACACCTTACACTGTGAAATGGGAAAACATAGTTTCCTACACCCTGCAGACCGTATTTATGAAACAAATAATGTACAAAATATGTACTTTGTATATATTTTATACATAAACCTTTACTAATTTATTATTAAACTTATTTTATGAGTATGTGTGTGTGTGGGCGCGCTTGCGTCTATATACAATATGCATATTACGCATCGCCGCGCCTTAAATTTATTCAAAAGTATAACGCGGGAAGGGGTGCATCACGACGATTTTTATAGCTAGCTCGAAAAAATCGCGAGTGATATAGCTCTGTTGCGCTGGACATTAATATTTCAAACGTAAACGCCGCGCGCACCAAAGCACAATTGAATTTCCGGTGCCTTTTATCATTATATTATACGTCATATAATAAACTATACATCATAATATAGTATAGCTATACCACTTGCTGGTGCTTTTGGGTACGCTCGTCTATGTACGAACGACGACGTTATCTCGTCGACGCGGTCTAAACCACGGACTGAGAAACCTTAACGTTCAGTCAACTTAGCCTCGGTCTCTGAGGGATATTATTTTGTCGGTCGACAGATCTCTCTCTGTCGCTGTCACTCGGCCACGGCGGACGGAAGGACAGATGTAACGAAAACGGCGAAAAAAATTTACGGAAAGAAAACTCGCGTTCTGATGTCGGCACGGTCTTGACGCGCGACAAACCGTCATCGCATCAACATCGTCATCATTATCATCATCATCATCATCATCATCATTATCTAGACACGTATACGTCGTATCGCAATAATATTATTGTTGTACTCGATTCCGCCCGCTATAGCGCCAGAACGGAAAATAATGTTAACGATCAGGACGTTACGATTATTATATCGTTGTTTTACAACGTTCAATGTGCGTGCGGTGACGCACACGGGTGTAACACCGCGTGAGGGGGTGCCGATTTAAAATAAAATACGACTTCGGGACGAGAGCGGCGGTGGCTGGACACTAAAGCGACCGGAACGGCGAGCGGACGTTTCCAAGTATAGAAACACGCGCGCGTTGACCGAAAAGAATTAGCAATAAAATAAAAACGTCACGATTTACCGCCGGCGACTGCATCCATATACAATGGTCATCGACTGCGACGGACGACGACGACGACGACTAAGCTTTTGACGCCGAGCCGCCGCCGCCCGCGTACAGTCGGTATGTTTTTTTATAAAATGTTACATTATTATTATACGTGCGCGCATACGTCGTCGCATATTATGACGCTCCGTAACGGCCGGCGTAACTTTCGAATCGCTCTCGAGTCGTGTCTATATATAAACGCGTGTACGACGCATAGCTCGGCGAATACGCGTAAACGTATACGTCGTGTATACCGTATAATATTATGTCGCGCGTGTTTAATAATAAATGGATCAGCAACAGAAGCGGCGGCGGCGACGACGGCGGTGGTGGTGAAGACGACGACGAATTTTATTATTCACTTGACGGGCGCGCCGTTGCGGGTCGTCTGCAAAATCGCTGCCATCGCCAACCGAACATTTTTTTAATACGCGACCATAATATATTATTATGTGTACCGGACATGTGTTTGTGTGCGATATATATGCACATACGCACGCACATATGTATGTATATATATTTGCGTATATCGTCGGCTACTTATACACCGAGTGCGATTACGTGTGATATACGCCTCCGTGTCACCCGTTAAATTTAAAACCGAGACGCGACGGTCTATTTTTACGCGGCCGTCCGTACGACAGGACTAGCGAACGATATCGCGAGGATTCCCGCAGACCGCACACGGTTTATTAACACTGCTGCACGGCGACGACGCCTGCAATGGTCGTCGTTCAGACCGCGAGAATGGTGTGGAATGAGATGACGATCATATAATATGAGCCGCGATCGCTGTCGTTCCGAAAGCGCATAACGATCATACAATATGCGATTTAATAATATTTAATGTCGCGATGGCGAGAATATAAGACGTGTATTATTATGAAATCTTACGAAAGGTCACTGACTAATAATATGATATTACACGGTATTACAGTCACCATTCACCACTTTATAATATATGTAACAGTGTCGTAAGTGATGGCGGTGGTGTTGGTGGTTACAACAGTGTCGAAGTGCATTTTACACCCGCGGCTCGACGACGCGATTGACAAGAACGGTATAATGTAGGAACCATCGCTAAAGCCTATACGAGAGGGCTGTGCGTTTACGTCGGGGATCTCGAGATTTTGGAAACTATTACCCTCGCCCTATCCGCGCGCACAGCTAAATCTTATCGAGAACATTCGAATAGCTTCCATACAACACGCGTTCGTACGCAGATACCATAACGATTTTCCTCCGGGAATTTATATACCATCGTGTATTGTAATAATATATATGTATAATTGTGTGCAACGGGCAGGTTGCCTATTTCGATAAATTCTTTGTCAGGAAACTTATTTATAAGAAAGGATTGCGCCGAGATGTCGCTTTATACGATATATATAGGGTTTCAAAATGTAATTTAAATACACACATATATATATATATATATATTTGCTTAGTAGGTATACGCAATAACCACCAACGTATAGCATAACATGTGATGATGACGATGATAATAATGAAAAGCAAAAAAAAATAGACAATAGCCTGTACCAACACCACCGCTTCCACGACCACCGTCCTCCGCCGCCACGCAGTCTTTTCAGGTATCACAATATCGGTTACCATATACGCACACATCGTAAACCATACTATTATAACCCCATGTAATGACAGCAGTGATCTTATATCCCTTTTTTGTGATACTTTTTATTATTAACTATACCATATAATATTATATCCAGATTGGCGGCGCCTTCGTGATAATATTATGTATTAAGTATATACACGCGTTCCCGCTCAATTCGATTTCAACTGATATACATATATCGCGTTACGACAACACGATATCATACCGGTCACGGTGGCTGTCGTTGTTCTCGCGTGTTTTATATCGACACACAAACACACACACACACACAAAGCTGTCGGTACACGGTTTAACCACTAAAATACGTTATAAAACTATCCGCGTGAGAATTATTATTAATATACAAATTCGAATTTAACAAACGAAATGTTAACTTATATTCGTTTTGAATAGCCGTGTCCATCGCGGTCAACAAATACAACCAGACGCAACGGTACGTCGTCGTGTATTCACATATCAACAATTCCGCAGTGGCATAGGCTTAGACAAACCTAAGTCTAATAAATATGAATCTATCACTATAGTATGTAAATTACCGATTTATTACACACCGATAACATAATATTATTATATCGTATACGGATTTACTGCATTATGTATAATATATAGTAGTGTAAATATTGATAGAAAATAATTGACTGACAACGGTACCTTTGAACGTGGAATTTGATAGCACGGCTGCCGTGCTGGTTATGAAGAAGAAGAAGACGAACATTGTCATGAGCACCCATCTACAGCCCGGAGATGTTGACACTGAAGTAGTCGTGACTTGATGACCACGCCATCGCCACTTGACCGCCTTGGCGATTCCACCCCTGCCACCCGAATCTTCTTCGCCGCCATCTCCACCACTGTCCGTAGACTTCATTGACCAAATCATGTTGGCTAATGTCAAGTGTTCTTCGGACGGATTAAACGGCGCATTTCCGAACGGAAGACAACGCCAAAGCCGGCGGTGGTTTGGCCACTGCGACTTTTCTTAGACTTTCGAACCCTTCAATCGAGTGAATACTTCGCCGTCCAACGACCGCCGAAAAATTTACGATCATTTTATTTCTTATTCTTTCTTTTTTCCCCTTATTGTTTATTTCCGTCTGCCTTTTGCGAATTTATAGTCTTGTCTGCCGCATGCAGCACGACGAAATCTATAACAATTTGCAACTGTAACGATGTATTATAGCCGTCAATGGATGGCGTAGATTGGAATAGGGGGATTTTTTTTTTTTTTTTAAGTACGCGTTTAAGGGTCGTCGTGTACGATATATAATGTAATCGCGTCGACATATATTACGCGATTTAGAATTTAATAAAACGACCCTCGCCGGATTGAGGGGTCGTTGGGACCCGCGTACGAGATCCACGCGTTTGGCGAAACGTGCAGCGATTCAAGAACTAGAAGATGACGGAGAAGTGTAAGGAGAAAAAAAAAAAAACTCGGCGTCGTCGCCGACGGGTTTTCTTTTTCCCTTATCTCTCCGATTTCCGTTCGAGTCGCGCGGCGAGTTTCCGTACGACGCAAAGACTCGGCACACACTGTGCCCTGCCGGGTGAAACGATCGCTCGCACGTACACACCGCTAAACGCCGCTCACACACAGACACGCGTGCACACCGACTGTGACACACACACACACACACAAACACACACAGACGCCAACTAACAAACGTCGCTCACCGGGACGCCGTGACCGACTGACGACTGCTCGCCGCCGCCGTCGGTGCTCGGAGCTGCCACCGCCGCCCGGCCGGGAGGTTTGCGTCGGCGACGGCGAGGGTGCGTGGCGGACGCGCGATGGACCGGCGGCGGGCGGTGGGCAGGAGGACAGCCGCGCGCGGTTCGGGCCGGCGGCGGCGGCGGGCTGCTGCCTCTGCGACTGCCGGCGGCGCTCTCTGTTGCCGGCGGCGCGGCGGTCGCGTCCGACTACGGCGGCGGCGGCGATGTAGGCGTCACGCGGTGCGGTGGTGGGTTCGTGGTAAACCGGCGGCGAGATCGACAGACTATATCGCGCGCCCGGGTGAAAAGCGCGGCAGCGGAAACCGAATCTCGCCGGCGCGCGCGCGCGTGTCCCTGCGAGAGACGAACCGTCGCCGCTACGCCACCGCCGCCACCGCCTCCGCGGCCAAAGGGGTAGTGTACAGATATTATCGTTGTGTGCCACGCTGCGACGTATATATATATACAAACGTACACGTACGTGTGGTGTGTATGTGTATGTGTGGTGTGCGCGTGTGGGTGTGCGAGTGTGTGCTGTGCCGTGTTGCGACGGGTTCGAAATAATAAAAATAAATAATAATAATAAAATAAAATACCGGCGGCGTTCCGTTCGACCCCGCGCGCGGTGACTGCCGACTATATACCTGTGAGCAAAACCGTCACACCGTTGTCATAGTACCTATATAGTATATATATATATATATATATATGTGTGTGTGTGTGTGTGTGTGTATAAATAATATATATAAATATATATATTTATATATACGTAGTGTATATAAACGTGGCAGTAAAAGGGATGTGTTTTTTTTTTCATTTTTTTTTCCTTTTAGCGCCGCATCGAATAATAATAATAACAACATAATTGTATTATTGCCACCGCTGCCGCCGATTTGCGCGCGCAACACGCGTATATATATATATATATACAGTCACCACCACCGCGAGTATACGGTCTCGATCGTATAATATTGTACTATATATTATAATATATATAAATATAACATTTTAATCGATCGTAGTATTATTATTATTATTATTATCATCGTCACCGTCGTCATTCTCGACATCATCACTACTCGGAAACGTTATATAGCCCGCGAGAACGGTCGTCGTCGAATATTATATGTATATACATATACATCATATATAAGATATTCGTAGTATATACTCGTATATTATTATTATACCGGACATAAAATATATATATACGTACAAATATAGAGTGAAAAAGAGTAAAAAAGAGATTGAGCGAGAGGAAATTATTATTATTTCGAAGAAACATTTTTTCGTACACACGTCATGTATATCATCGCGGAAGTATTAGAATTTTTGACCCTTCTCGCGGCCGCGTCGTATATCGTTATGAATACATAAACACGATAAGTCTGTCGCGCGGGTTTTCCGTTTTTCCGGTTCACGCGCGACCGCCGGTGAACGAACGACGACCTATCGACGGTGGTGAACTCAGTAATATTATGTACAGGACAGGCTCCTACGCTATTATTGCTGACCCCGACTTTACGCCACCCCGCAGAGTGGTCGCAGACCCACACGCATTACGCGTCGCAAAACAGGTGCACACACGTGGTGGACTTAAAGGGACCGCCAAACGGTGTCGTCGACGTTTTTTCCGACCGATTGACGGCATAAAATCCCCTCAGTCAACAGCTAGGGTACAGTGATGTACGACTACAGCACTGTATCCGATCCCGCGGGATCCCGAATTCCCGTACGTTCCCATTTATACGGGTATACCGTCGTCCCGCAGGTATACCGTTCGTTGTAACCCGGTTAGCAATTAGTTCCGCGACAACGCGGCGGTGGCGGTCTCGTTTTACGCGTGCGGCACCTGCCGCCGCCGTCGCCGCCGACCGTACCTGCGATTCGACAATATCGATTTATTTCCGCTTGTATATAATATAATTATTACACACATAAATATTATTGTATATTACAATATTGTACGAACCTATTGTACGACCATGCCATATTATCATAATCGCGTGTTATTTACACACGACCGATACGGTGTTGTTGTTCCTGTTGTTTCGTCTGTATTAGGTGTTGGTATAATATAGAGTGATATGTTTAATGCCCGACGAGGAGACGACGACGTAGGCATAGTATTATATTTATTGTATAGCCGATATAGCGGTTTACACTTTATGTACCGGAGACACGGTGACCTATATATTATCTACGATAAACGCGTACAAGATGACGACGTCGAGTACGCGATAGTGTATTATAATATATTATATTATAATAATATATTATAAAAGGAAATTGCGATTTCACACGCCGCACACACTTGTAGGTGAAAAAAGATACGTTGCCCGTATCGTTTTCCCGCGAATTCTTTTCGCATTGAAACAGTGCGCAGTAAACGCGCGTGTTGAATTCAGTGTGTGTGTGTGTGTGTGTGCAATTTTTTTTTTTCATTTTTTCATATAATTTAAAAACTGTTTAAACCGGTTGATACAGTTTGCTGTATCAGCTACCTATATATATAATGTGTTTTTTATTTATTTATTTTTTTGCGATACATGATCTATACCCAAAACGTGTATGACACACCTTCCGTACACGTTTTGCGATTTTGTGATGAGCGATTGATTTAGAAGTTTAATTTGTTTTATTTATTTTTTTTTTTTTTATGATTATATGCGCAGTAATGGTTGTCACTATAGTATAACGATTGGAAATTCGAAGACGGCTGATTTCAGACAGTTTTACTAAAAAGTAATTTTTATGGCTCTGTTTTTGCAAACATTTTTAATGACTACCTGCAAGTTTTAGTGGCAATAATATTTTTAATAATAATATGATTTGATAAACCCGTTTTAACACTTTTAACACTTTTATAAACACTTTGAATTTATAGCGGTTCAATTTCCAAAAAATTAAATTTAGTTTGAAGTTGTTTCGCCATGCTTTGAACATGTTTCATAGAATTAAAACTACATTAATAAAATTTGATAAACTACTAAAAAATTATAGCACATTTTATGCAGTGTTGGGAATTACCTTTATACTAAAGTAGTAAATATATAACTTTGAATTATTCATTTTATGATTCACCGAAGTAAAGTTTTTGTGAGTTTAATAGAAAATGCTCATAAAAAATGTATATTAAACTTTTTTTTTTGTATTATAAGTCATTCAACAATTCGAGAATCATTAGTACATTTCAATTACATTTTTATCGTATTGTTATATTGTCAGCCATAATATGAAAATAATAATTTTTGAGTATTATACTCATTTATTTACAAACTTTTTAACTGTTTAAAATTCAAGCAATAATTAAATAATTATTTAACTCTGTCTTTCGTGAATATGAATAAGATGCGTGAGTGTTCATTAGTTAATATCAAATCTGTCAGCTACTTTAATATTCTATTTTTAATACTTATGTAATAAAATATTTTTTATTGCATGTAATATGACCTGATAATACATTTTCTTTAAATAACTTCTATCATACTTGGAACATTATATTTTACATTTTATTAAAATCATATTTCTTTTTCATAATCGTATGTTGCATACATATTTGTAAAAGCGATAGTATTATTAAATTGTTTGATATACATGAATATTGTATTATAAATATCAAATATGTCATGTAAAATGATTTTATAAAAGTTGTATAAAAAATATGTATTTACTTAACGTAGATATAGATTAAATATATATGAATTTAAAATTGAGACATAGTCATTACTTATTATTTATTAAAAATATGATTTTTTAGTTACAATTTATACTTAAACATTAACAAATTAAATGTTATTTTCGTGAATACATAGACTCGTAATATTATTAGATACAAATAAAAAATAAAACCCTCTGTATTATAATATTATTATCAACTAAAAAAAACATTGAATTTCTAATTATTATAAATTAAATCAATATATTCTCTGTTTATAAATAACAAAAACCTTCTATTAGTCGAATGGTTTATTGTATTGACAAACTCGTTTTTTACTTTTAAATTAAAGTATTAGCATTAATTATAAATTTTGAAATTTACATATTAATACCCAATGGATAATATCGAAACAAGTAACACCAGTAAATATTATAATTTCGTTTTCAATTATCTATCGTTTCTGTCATTAAATAGGTGTTAATCTTTACCAAAAACAATTTTAATTTTTAAATACTAAAGGTTACTGTTGTAAAAAATTGAATTACCAATTTATAAAAATCAAGACCGATAATAATAAAAATATCATTAATTTTTTATTTTCTATTACCTATACAACTTACATGCATATACCTACACATAGTACACGTGTGTTAATAATAATATTCTTAATAAAAAATAAATAATTTTTTATTTGTTCTCATGTTATTGCATTTAATCAAACTCACAAATTTTTATAAATATTAATCACTAAAATTTTGATGAAAGTGAAATTTAATTATCAATAGATTTCAAAAATATAAACGTAATATATTAATCAATTAGAATATTAGATATAATCGTAAATGTAAAAACGAGTAATAATATATATTTATACTATGTAGTTATCGATTATATTTATAAATATAAAATATAATTGTATAAATGGAAAATGTATAACAAATATCTAATAATAATATGCATGCGTGAATGTAAGAACTCAATTTTATTACAAGTTTAATGGTTACTAAGTTGAAATGAAAACGTTTAGATCTCTAGGAGTTGTAACTATAACAAGTACTAGATTGACCTACCTAATATAGCAAATAAAATTACTGAAACCTAATATTTTTTTAAAACATGTACGTAATTCAAGGGAAATTAATAGAATAATTTCGGATTTTAAAAACCATTTCAAATTTATGTTTACATAAAATAAAAATCTTTACTGCTCTTTAGTTTTAACTTTAAATAATACTTTGTTAATTTGTCATGAACAATTTTAAAAAATCAGTTTAGATTTTATTTCATTATGTTATATTTATACTTGGTATATAAATTATAAGTTATGCGTAAGACAATATAATCTGCATAAATATTTGTGTTCATGATTTCATAAAAACTTTAATCAGCTTATTGTTTAAGTACCATTACAAATACCACATGTACGATGTAAATGCAACTATCTTAAAACCATCTTATAAAAGAGCTTATATGCAGTAGTTTACGTACATGAATAATAAATAAATATTTAATTACATTTTATAATAATTCAGCTAATTCTAATAACACTACGTTATTAGCTTTAATAATCATAAAGTAAGGTACCTATGGACTGTGGAATAGTCTTGTAAAAATTTGTAAACAATTTCTAGTTTATGGTTTAAACAACAACTAAAACCATGTTCGTAAACAAGATTATCATTTCTATAGTGCTTGTGGGTACTATAATACTTTAATTTGTTTAGTATCAAAAATGAAAAATGTAAACGCCGTGGAATTAGAATAACAATTATTTATATTAAATAATGATATAGGTAATGAATAATCAAATGCGAATCGAAAAGTTTATATCATTTTTGTCTTTTAAACAAATATATTATAAGTTTCGAAGAATTTTGACGATTTCGACTAGACTTTATTTTGATTTTTGTAAACTCTCGTCCCATTGTTATTGAGTTTAAGTAGGTTTACTGTACAGATGGCTGTTGAAAAAATATCAATATTATATAATATAAACTTTATATTTTATATTAATAAAAAATAAAAGTACGCAATGCGCTGTATAGAAATATATAATAATTTTTACAGTTTATACAATAATAACGATATATATATATATATATATATATATATATATATAGAATTGGCAGGTGGTAATAAGCACTTATACACCTCCTATAATACATCTATAATATCATTATTACATTTAAAGAAAGTCACTCGATAATAATAATTATTAGCAGCGTATATATTCGGGATAATGACGTGTTGCTGAAAACGTCGTTTGAACGTATTTTATAATACGCGTGGAATTGATTTTAGCACCAACAAACCAATAACTGCGCAGCGCACTTTAGTTTACATTTTAATAATAATAATATATACGTCGGTTATACTTATAACGGTTATAATGAAATATTATAGCCTCGACGCGTTTACAACACACACACACACATTATTATTATTATTATTATTATATACAATATACGTATATACATTTATATATATATATAAACGTGACGTGCGGATGTTAATTTTATATTCGACGCTAAAGTGTTCGCCATTTCGCTATGATATTACGGCGACGCGACTGTCGTTGATTACTCTATAATTCGTACGAATCTATATACATATACATTAATTTCTCCCATTACGATTTATAGCAATAATAATAATATACATGTTTTTGTTTTCGATTATATTATACACGCGTACGCGTGTGTGTGCGCGCACACTCGCACAGCTTCGTCGTTGCGGTGCAGATAAGAGAGATTTCCTGTACCACCCCGGCGGGTCTGGGTTTGCGAGTACGCCGGCCAATATACGGCGGTGTAGCGCATTTAGAGTCGGTCCGGGACCGCCGTCGCCGCCGCCGCCAAACCGGTTGAGCCCGCGCTTACGGAGTAAGTGTAGTGAGAGTTGCGGCCAGCCATCTCACTCTCGAGTAGTAGGTACACACTTTCTTATAATATTATTCTGTGCGCTCGTCTACTACTATACCACCACTACGGTGTTTATACTCGTTTCGTGTTCCGTGTTCACGCACGTACACAAAGTCTGCAAACCCTTGGCGTGAGAATCGTAGGTACGACGTCGTACAGTGCTTGTTTCCGATCAGCCACTTTCGGTCGCAGCAGCCGCGCACAGTGCTCTCTGGAACGTCGAAAACCACTGCGACTACTGCTGCTACGACGACAACACACACGAAAAACAATATTCCCAACTCTCCCACGACGCTTTGCTCGTAGTACCGCGGACACCACCGTCGCTACGACGATTTGCTTCTTATTTTTTTTTTTTTGGATTTCGTCCTGTAACGTAATGACTTTTATCTGTCTTTTGTAATATTGTGACCATATCGACTTGGAAACATTTTGCGTTTATAGCAATTTATCGTGCTCGCTGAATCCCGATGAATGGCATCGGTGAAGACGGAGAACAGTCAACGGTATCCATCGAGACGGGATTTTTCAGGGTGATCTTTACGACTGTAAAATCGAACGAGATTGTACAACCACCTCATCGCGAAATGACATCTGGTTCGATGAGTGCGGGCCACTACGGTGGAGCCGACGTCGATTCGACAATGACGAAGGTGAGTACCTAGGTGACGACTGCGACACCGACTCTGGCGCGTAATCGCTATAGTAAGTTTTTAATTATGTTGCGACCAGAAATAATTGTTGGATCACATCACACTGAAGTAAATCCAAGAGTATTGGACTTATTAGATCGCGCGGTGGTTTTATATTTTTTAATCATTCAATCTGTAAAATAATTGTATGCCTACAGTATATGATCATATGTGCGCTAAATTTTAACTATGGTATTATCTCATGGCACGGATCGAGTGATTAATGGAATCTTAAAAAAAAAAAACTCTTGTATTTAAATCGCGTTAAATTTCTGTTTAAAAACGCTTACGGAGAGATAATCTCTAGACATTGATTATTTTTGTGGACGACAATAAACGCGTTTGCGTATTGCATTTCAGAAGAAAATCAGTGGCAGTTACCACCTTCACAGGTGCGTTCCAACGCTACTGCAAGTGACTGCTGCAGTGGCAGCGATACTGTTAGTGAGCTGCAACTGTGCGGCGAACGCTGAACCCGTGGCTCCCGTCCAAGTGGCCGCCGCCGTGGCCACGGCCACCGGAACCGAAGGAGTTCCGGCGCGACCGGTGGAAAAACCTGCTACCGACGCCGTTGATCCGTCAACCGTAGTGACGGCGTTCTCACAGCCGCAAGAGTCGGCCACCGAATCGGTGGACTCGCAATCTTCCGGGACCCCCCAGGCGGCGGTGACGGAAAACGACGGCCAAAACAAGGTGAGTCTGACTGCAGGACGCAACCGCGGCTCCTGCAGTGCCGGCGCGGTGAACTGGATAACCGGCTCTTAAACCGCGGGTTGTCTGTGGGCAAATGGGCAATGGCCGACGGGCGATTATGATTTAGCATTTATGGTGCGCAACAGGTATAAAATAAAACATGACAGTCCGGGTTTTGGTCGGACGGACGGGTGCAGCAGGTGCCGGGCGGGTTGAATATTAGACTATAACCGCAGAAAGAACTCTTGGTCCGCTCAGACCGCGACGACCGCGGCGCGTCCTCTCGCGGTAGTGCAGCCGTCTCGGATTCCCCACAAAACGGGGCTACGACGAGGCTTACCCGTGCCCACCCGGAGCGCGGACGGGGATCGATTTCCGCGAGCGCCGATTTCGGGTTCCCATCGCGCGCGGTGCTCTCTCCGCGACGTGAAAGAAACGGGCGCGTTTCAAACTCGTTCGCGTATACAATCCTTGTGTATGTATATGTATATAGGTACGTACGGACCGCGGCCCCGAAAAGAAAGTGAGAGTCACTTTTGTCCGTAGTAAGTACCTACTAATAACACTATATACCTACACATATATATACACTTCACTTGTACTACGACTGCCTACCCGACGCGGCGACTACCTGTATAATATTATACTGATTAGAAAACTACCTGCAGCGCTAAACGCACGGGCCGTATATCATAGTATTATTATATATACGTCCGAGTCGTACACGCAACACGTGTATCGTCGCGTGGAGTGTGTGTGTTTGTGTGTTTGCTCGACACCAAACCGGTCTTACCTTTACGTCAACACAAACACACACACACACACACCAAGGCCGCCCCATGTGTTCCGGCTACGCTTCCGGCGAGATAATAATAACACACAAATCGCCCTCGAGCAAGTTCGTTATGTCCGTCGTACGAGCGTACGTATACATATAGAGAGGTGTAAGTACCGCCGAGTAGACGTCGTTTACGCTCGTTATATACGTACGTATACCGCGTAATGCATGTGACTGCGTGCAAAGAATCGCGTCCGAGACCTCCGACTGGTTTTCATATTATATTATGTTTTTTAGTGTGTGAGTGAGCGTGTGTGCGTACACTTTGCGGCGACCGCCGGCACCGTCGTCGTCGTGTACATATTATAGAAAGCGCGAGTGAAAACACACCGCGGACGCGAAAATACGATCGCGCAAAAGTTGTTTTTGCTCGCGTATGTGTGTGTGTGTATTTTTGTATGTTTGTGTGTGTGTGAGTATGCAATCGCGGAGAGATTTCTACAAACGAGCGGTGGATTTACTCAGCTCCGATATAGATATATCCGGTACCGTCGCGCTTTAAGTGTATACAAGGCACTATATATTTATCTATATATATTATATACGTTATTACATATCCTTATACGTACGCGACGACTCGAGTTGATAGTATTTATTTTTTATTCCGCCTTTCTCGTCCGTGAACCGCAGAGTGTAAACCACTGTATAATAATAACATTATTATTATACCAGTCTGTTGACAGACCGATGCTATACTCTTTAAAGGCTGCTGCAGCAGCAGCTCAATAACGACTCGCGCACGCTAGTAAACATTTCCACTGTTTCTGATTGGTTTTATTGGTTTTAAACGTCTCTTGACTTCCGTAATATGTACGATACGCGCGAGTGCTCGGCCCCGGGCGCGAAGGAGTAAACGGCTCGGATGCTCTCGGCGCGCCCGCGGTTACAATTTATGGTCGATTACTCCTTATATACACATTATATACATTACTAGTCATTAATAGTGCAGTAATGAAGTTTTCGTTTGTGAAATCCGCTATCGAAAAAAAAGATCCAAAACAAATCGGCGGTTTCGCTATTCCTATAGGTTTCATCGCGATCGCGCCACATCGTGGTCGATAGACGATAACGCAAGTGCGAGCACCTGCGTACGTAGTACATTTTCGTACATAATATTATGATAATACGTCTTAAAGAAATTAGAACGCGTTAGGTAACTTTTATATTCTCTATCGTTACAGCTGCAGCCGATCAACGACAATAATTATGTCCAACAAGACGATAAACATCGACAACAGCAACAGCAACTGCTGTTGGCCCCGTTGCTGATGCCCTCGGCGCAATTGTCCGCAGTGTGGTCTTCCCAGCCGTCAACGCAGCAGCCGCTGGCCGTTGACAGTATTTCGGTGATACCTTCGCTTTCGTCTCTCGTCGGACGAGAACGTACCGTGGTCGAAATCGTGCCCGTCCCCAGCGCGTCGGAACAACACCTCGTCGACTCGCCCTTGGGTCAGCCTCAACCGGAGTACAAGTACATCGGAAGTCTGCAACCGGAATCGGAGCTACAACAGCCCGAACGGGAGCCGCAACAGCCCGAACGGGAGCCGCAACAGCCCGAACAGGAGCAACGACAACCCGAACCGAACGAGCAACAATCTGCAGCGTCGTCCGAACTCGGCTCGGAACAGCTACAGCAGACGTCGTCGGCGCCACAGGCACAACAGCAATTGCAGACGGCGGCCTCGGCTCCTGCCCCCGCCCCCTCCGATCAACAATTTCAACTTTCGTACTTGTACAACAATAATGTCTTCGGTGTGAAAAACAACGAAGATGACGATCAGCTGCAACAGCAATATTCGTATCACTATTACTACCAACAGAACCTTGCGCAGCAGCAACAACAACAGCAGCAGCAGCAGCAGCAGCAGCAACAGCAACAACAACAACAACAACAACAACAACAACAACAACAACAACAACAACAACAGCAACAGCAACTGCAACTACAACTACAGCAGCAGCAACAGCAGCTCAACAGCAACTTGCCGGCCGTGTACTCGCCGCCGCCAGTGCAATACGGCGGCGGTCAGTTGTTCTACCACAGCAATTTCGGGGGCTTCGGCAGGTATCCGCTGCAACAACAGCAAAACTTCTATTACCGCGGCAGGGACGGCGGTAGACCGACTTCGCGGCGCAACAGCAGGGCGCAGTCGCAGTCCTCGTCGTACGGCGACAACGTCAACGGCGGCGGCGGAAGTAATTTCTACGCTCACTACCAGCCGCAGCACCAACAACAAAAACTGCAACCGTCACCGGATCACGGCGGCGAAAGCGCGGACAACGTGATCGGCATCAAATACGACCAAGACCAGACGGCCGGCGCCGCGGGCAAGCAGCACCAACCGGTGCCGCCGTTCCGGCCCAGCCATCCGGTGTGGGCGTCGCAATATCCGGTGCCGTGGACGTACTACGTCAAGTCGTCGATGGTGCAACCCGGACGGCCGGCGCCGTCTCACACGCCGCAGCACGGCCACTACGGCGGCGGCCGGAAGTCGCGGTACGTGCTGCAGCAGCAGTCGGCCGGCGGCGCGGTGTCCAACAGGGTCGGCGGCGGCAACGGGTATCCGCCGGCCAAGCCGCCGCGCACCAAGGTCGTTTACATCGAGTACGGCGGCTTCAAGCCGAAAATGGTGCCATCCGTGCAGATCACGGCCACCGAGGACTACAGCGGCAACCGCCGTCAGCTGACGGTCGTCGACGGCGGCAGCGACGGTCCTCCCGTGGCCTCGGCCACGCCGGCCGCAGCGGACGCCACCACTGCAGCTGTCTCCGGGACCGCTGCCGCCGCCACGGCGACGACGACGACGACGACGACGGCCGCGTCGGCGGCTGTAGCTTCGACGGTGACGACGATGACGACCACGACCACGACTGCGGCCACCATACCGAACGCGACTACGGCCGCGTCGATACCGCGACAACCGCAACAACAACCGACCGCCGCCGCCGCCGCCGGTGTCGTCGTGGTAGTCGTTTGAACCGACCCGACGGCGAGGTTTTAATTTATATAAGTCGTTTTTTTCTTTCTATTTTTTTGTACATATAAATCGATCAAGACGCAACTGCAACAGCTCTTATTTATAATGCCCTCCGCTGCGACAGTGTTTAATTTATTCATTATTTATATAGACGTCACGACATGCAATTGTGCGGTAGAAAAACGCATCTTTCGCCGGTTATTATAGCTTATAATATTATATTTTATAGTATTCTACTACGATATATACTTGTTGGTATACAGTGTTATTACGTTGTGTATTGTTTTTAAATAAATATTAGTAATGATATGTATTATTATTCGAATCGCGTGACATAATCATTATGATATAATATATATTTTATAACGGTGGGTAAAACAGCGTGGCACACTATATCGACGTGTATGAAAACGATCGAATACGCCTGCTGCTGTTCAAACGCTTATAATGTTGTACCTCTGTATTTGTATGGTGGCGTTTTTATAAGCACGACGTTTTCGGGACTATTTCTAAAAGTCCTTATCACTACTCATCGCACCGTGTGCGATTGACCTACTACGCTGACAATAATATCACGTCCAGCGTGAGATGAAGCGATCAACTCCGTCCTAGATGGTTAAATGGTTAAATCATATTTATATACGTGAATCGTTGTACGTATATACGTGTTTGAACAACTTAAAATTAGAAATACAAAAATTATAAGAAAAACTATAGGAATTCGAAACGGAAAATGAGATTGTTAAAGGTTCTGATAACTTAGGTATACCCGAAAAAAGTCTGCGAAATGTTCTTAAAAAATGAGTTCTCAGGTAGGTACTCTATATTCTTCGCATGACTTCAATGTGTGTTTCTTCGCGTTTTTTAAAAGTATCAAAAAAAATTCTATACAAATATAAATTCAGTGTATTTGTAGAGCTGTACTAAAATTGTTGTCATATTCTGTACGCTCTTTAAATATAAATAACATAACATCAAAATAAATACTACTTAAATATATTAAATATACGATTTTTATTTTCAAACCATTTGATTTTCAGAGAAATTGAATAAGTGACTTTTTATTTATTCATATTATGTTAGTATGGTTCCTCGCGGAAAATGACCGATCGTGTCAGTCGTCAATATACGAACTTAAGCTAACAATACACGCGATCGGTGTACGAATTGTTCTAGAATATTATTCGATCGATTTAAAAAAGACTTCGTAAAAAATTCAAGTCTTTCATTATAACTATTTAATTATATGGTAGAGAAAAATTCAACTTGATTTGAATATTTAATTGTAGTCAATCGTTAATATATAGGTACTTAATTTCATAAAACATTAGTAGGTGTAGAATTTTATTATGTCTAACATGTTTTTAATCAAAACATGAATAAGTACATTTTTAAGTAGTCTCATCATCAAAACAATATTTTAAATAATTCGTTTTGGAACTCAGGTTAACACAACTATTATATAATTATTTCTTTTGCTTAATTTTGTTATTTATTTATATTTATATTATTCCGTTCGATCATTTGAATTTAAAAGTACAAATAATTATTGAAATATTTTACAATGGAAAACCCGTGTGCCCGATCACCTTATAGGAACTCATAAAATAATACAGTATGCAAAAAGCAATTTATTCTATGCGACAATGCGACATGTTTCATCTAGTCATCAGTGAATCCTGCAAATATCTACAAACTTATTTACAAACTTGTTTATGTGTTGTGAGTTTTGATGGTATTGTTAGATATAGGGTATAAGATTTTGTATATTTAATCCTGAAAAGTATTTTTTAGGCACATATGTTGATTTTGATTATGACGTGTCGCATAAAATTTTTTTTTTTAATGTCGTTCAGTGATAATTGCTAAAATTATCCACTGAAGTAAGTAACTATACTCTGCTGTAAATTAAAATTAAAAAAGTCATTGCACAATATAAAAAACAAATTTTAGCGCAGTCAAACAGCCAACCTATTTTGATAACCTAACCTAACCGTTTGAGTTGGAAACCGTAACCGAATTTCGAGCACTTAAACCGTTTTAGAGATGCGACGAATACTATAGTATACGTCGTTTAAGCGATACGATTTTTACGAATCGCGTGTCACGAAACCGTAAATCGCATGTTAATTGTCGTTTAGAGTGTTTCCGACGTATTCCTCTACATTATTTAATCGTATACGTCTTAACGACGTACCGAGTTTATCATCACAGACACATAATATCACGATATCGCCCCAAACGTACGCGATCAAAGGCGTTACAACGACCGAAGAGCAACGATTTTGCGATGTTTTTGTATAATACATATAAGAATCTGGTCATATCTGATGTACGTCAACAACGGTACGCACGTTTCTTTTTTATACACATAATCGCGAGTACGCGTTTTCCGGATGCGACAGCGACGGCCGCGAACGGAATTCGGGGACGCGCGACACGCGAGAGACGCGTTTCGCGCGATCGGAAAACGCGCGGACGCGAAAAAGGCGAAACCGATTCGGGCGGAGAGAAAAACCGGAGAAAAACGGGCGAAGTCCGTCGCCGGGCGGCTGTCTCCGCGACGGAGGACCGAATCCGAACGAAAAACGCGAGCGGACGGGACGAAAAAGACCCGCTCTCGGCTACGGCGCAGAGAACGCGACGGAAAGAGGTCTCCGAAGGCCGGAAAAACGGGCGAAAAGCGGAAAAAACGGTATAAGAAAAACAAATAATAACAACGGCGGCGGGAGATAACGATAACGGCGCGCGCACGGGAGATATCAGACAACGACGATAAGAAAAAATTTTAATTTTCCGATTGGCCAGTACCTACACTAAAGTACGAGCATTCTGGCGGATTTTTTGGGAAGCTCGTTTTGGTTTTATATTATAAGAAGAAGAAGAAGAAGATTTATATAATTTATATCATTGTTGTTCACTTTTGAGCCAATATTGACTAACCGTATAGAATAGCATGAATATGTACTGCATGGTAAAAATAGCCAGAAACTTATAATTAAACTAAACATTTTGGAAAATTTTATTGAGTAGGTATAGTAAATAATAAACCCAGTCATAAACAAAACGCATCAAGTTTATGAATTATAACAAAAAATAACAAAGATTGTTATTTTTTGTTCAAATAATGCCGTCACTTGTTAATTTTAGACACTGATAATAAAATAATAGCAGAAATCCGCTTTTTTTATAATTCAGTAAACTTTTTATGGTTGTTGTAAAAAAGATTTATTAGGAAACTAATATAACATTTTCAAACTTAAGTCATTAATATTCACAATTGTTTACAATTTTACCTTCACAAAACAATATGCACATTTTCATTGTTTTTAACAATTTCCGTAAAAATTTAAACTGTGAATGCTTACAAAAAAAAATTGTAACAATTTATTATTAATATTTTTTAATTTACAAAATAACAGTTTGCCAGGAATCTTGTACTAGTTTTTCAAGGTTTTTTACTTTTAAACAAAAATATAATCATACATAAATTTAAAAAAATAAATAAATAAATAATAACTATGACATGAAAATTATATCATATGAATATATTATGATATCTAATGATTGTATAAATTAATTATATGAATATTTGGTTGAAATTTCAAGGATCTACAAATGTTTGTTTTAGAATTAAAACAACGAAAAATAACAATGTCCGATTATCTCTAAAACTAGTTTTACACAAAAATTTTCGTTTTTTAATATTAGTTAAATTTATTTTATTTTCTTTGCCAATTGTTTTTAAAGACGTTGAGAATTGTAAATTTCGACCTCCAAAAAGTACTTTATTAAATTCAATTTGCTATCAGAAACCATTCACGAAGTTGAAGATCCGACTATATTTTTCTACTATAAATAATAGTGTTCAAATACACACGCAATCATTGTGAAATCAATACAGCATCGCTACGCTCAGAAACTAAAATTAATCAATTTAAAATTATAAATTTTATTATAAGAACTACATAGAAGTACGTTTTTATATACTCTTTTTATTTCTAAAAATATATATTGTATTTTTCTAGGTCTTTTTGAATAAATTGAATTTTAAATGAAATGATAAATATTAATTTAAATTTTAAACTTGAAGTGTTCATTCGAATTTGTTTTATGTAAGCAATACTAAAAAAACGTCAAAACTAATAAAGTATAGAATAAATCAACCCATAAAATAAAATACTGCGTCAATATTTATATACATCACAATGAACTAGTTACAATAGTTGATATACATTATACAGTATGTTATTATTATATTTTAATATAGGGTCACACTTAAATTTCATACGTTGATATGATCGTATTATAAAACGTGACATTAAAATTTAAAAATGATGTATAATACACGCCTTTAAAATATTTAATATGTAACTATGTATATGTATGTGCCCAGTGGCATTTTCGAGCAGAGGATGAATTAATTGCACCCCTTTAAAATAGGCCATGGTTTTTTCAGTATATTTAAAATTGTATTCAAAGTAACAAAGTTATCAAATTAGCATGAAATAAAAAACGTACATTCTTAATAAAAAATTTAAAAATGCAATAAATTTCATAAACATGGATGTAGACTATGTAGAGCCTACCCCTACATCGCTAATTCCCTCTAAGGTGCACATTCAGATTAATTTTGGCTAACAATTTAAAATATCTAAATTCAATAAATTAAATTTCAAGATCGCTGAATTTGAAAAAAAAAATAGCTACAATAATTTCATAAAAAATAATATAACAAAAATACTTTTTTTGGAGCAATAAAAATACTTCAAATTTCAACTTTAAGGGGTGGTTTCTGGTAGCGAAGTGGATTAATTTGATACTTTGAAGGGTCAAAAGTAAAAAATTCCCAGTAATTTTCTTAATAACTAGAGATTTTTACGTTAAATCACATTTCAACAAATTTGATTTCTTTATTGTTTTTATAATTCAAAAAACAAAATTTACAAAAACTTGAATTCAAATATGTATATTATAATTTTCTATACATAGTATAATTTTAAAAATCTTTTGACTTTTTAAGCTATCTGTTAACAACATTTTTTTGCTATTTTTTTTTTTTTAATGCAAATAAAATATTATTACTCTGTTAAAAACCTTGAAAATGGAATCATAAGCTGTTGTTAACAGAAATTTTAATAAAAAAGTTGAGCATAAATCTACATATATTTTTTATAATTTTTGAAGTTAGAATTTTTACAAATTTCGTCAAAAATGCTAAACTTAGCAAACTATTTCGTGGTTAAAAATACATCAATTTTTAATAAAAATACCTAAAATTTAAAAATGTAATACAAAACCATATTATATAAT